TTTTCTTTTTTTCAACTCTCAAACCCATTATTTTCATCAATAAAATAATATCAAAGCACATTTTGGCGCCCCTAACTAGCTGGCGCCTGGGGAAATATGTCCCCCCTGCCACCCCCTCGCTACGCCTCTGGTTGATTGTGATAACAAGGAAACCCGTTTTGTTAAAAAAAAAGTTATCAAATGTTGTCCTCAAATGAATGCTACTTACCGCCGCCAGCTGTTTTTACAGTCTCAAAAATCAGGTCAAACACTGCCTCGGCGCTACCCGCTTGCACATCTCTACCACCAAAATGTACGAAATGCAATGTAAACATTAAACAGATGAAGAAGTTTTAAACGAATTTTTAAAAAAAAAAGAAAATTCTTCTTCCCATAAATTTCTGGAGCTAAGGTAAAGAAGAATAGGAAGAAAAAAAAAAAAAAGAGAAACATCGGGAACACCTAATGCAACGTTCTTTTCAAAGCACTAACGTCCCCTCCTCTTAGTCAATGAATTATTTTAGTAAATTATAACATCAAAATATAACTAGCAAGGTACGTCGTAATCTAAAACAATTATTGAGTTTAACTGTAGGTAATCTAATGGATTTTCAAAATTTTGACAACTGTTATAAGATGAATTTTTTTCTTCTTTAAAAAAAAAAAGTAAATAAATATTATTTACGTGGAAGATGGACGTCACACTTCCCAGGAGTGCAGAGATGAGAAACGCTGTGATCAACGCAACTTGCATTGTCCAGATTGTACGCAGAAAGTCAGGTGTTGCTGTGAAGGTAGTAGCTCAGAGCTCTACGAGTAGGGGGGCTGTGGCTCGTGTTTTTGTAACTGTACGTTGCAATTACTAGTTACATATATAGTGATCTAAGTGAGGAAAGCAATCATTTGAATGATCTTATGTCATAAAGATAATGGGGGCAACACGTTTGTTTGAAATTGCGTCATGATAGTTGTGGGCGTAACCGCAGTTTACATAGGCGCAGATGTTTGGAGTAGCTTAGATCATTTAAACTGGAGGTCAAAGTAAGATGAGGCACGCGCACTATCAGAGTATTTCTACGTCACGAGGAATTGACTAAGATACATTAAACACACACACACACACACACACACACACACACACACGCACACATACACACACACACACACACACACACATATATATATATATATATATTTTTATTTAGGCATTTTTATATAGCGCTTACTATAAAGCTCTAAGCGCTTTACAATTATTAAAAACATGTAAACTAAGTAAAATAAAAATGACACACTATATAAATAAATATATATAATACGTCACGAGGAAACGACTAAGATACATAAAACACACACACACACACACACACACACACACACACACGCACACATACACACACACACACACACACACACATATATATATATATATATATATTTTTATTTAGGCATTTTTATATAGCGCTTACCATAAAGCTCTAAGCGCTTTACAATTATTAAAAACATGTAAACTAAGTAAAATAAAAATGAGACACTATTTAAATAAATATATATATGAAAAAGCATGCATGGATAATTGTAAAATCATTTAGTCTATTTAATAATTTCCTAAAGTTTTCCGTGTTTGTACAAGAATAGTTTTTTTTTAATCCTATTGTTTGTGTATATTAAATTAATAGAAATGTCTTAGGATTTCAATACGGATATATAACGTTTCTTTCATTATGAAGAGATGATGTCGAGTATAGTAATATTAATTATTATTTCGCTTTATTTCTCCTTCTTCCTCTTTCTTTCTTTCGTTATTTCTTTCGTTCTCTGAGGAGAAATAAAGAGAACGAAAAAAGAAAGAGAAAGAAAGAAAAAAAAAAAAAAAAGAAAAAAAAGAAAAAGAA